TTTCTGGCAGAGATGAGTGAGCACCTCCAGTGCTGCATCAGTTTGTTGAAAGATTTCAGTTTGTATTCTGTGAATTCCTGGAGCCTTGTTTTTTTTTTTTGCCAATGCCTTTCGTGCACTTTGGACTCCCACCTTCAGTACCATTGATTCATTCATGATTGTATACTGCCTTTTGAAAATGGTTGAACAATGGCCATTTCTTTCTGGTACAGTGACTATGTATTCCTTCCATTTTCTTTTGCTACTGTCTAGATCATTCACTGTTTTGCCCACAGAATCCCTTAGTATTTGCAACTCAGGGCTTGAATTTTTCTTCACTTCTTTCAGCTTGAGAAATGCTGAATGTGTTCTTCCCTTTTGGCTTTCCGACTTTGCATGTTTTGTTTTAATACTTGACGTTGCCTTCTCAAACTGCCCTTTGAAATTTTGTGTTCAGCTCTTTATTTCCTCCAGTCACTTTAGCTTCTCTATGTTCGAGAGTAATTTTCAGAGTCTCGTCTGACATCCATTTGGCCTTTTTTCTCTTTCCTGTCTTTTAATTGACCTTTTGCATTTTTCAAGTATGATGTTCTTGATACCATCTTACACCTCTGGTCTTCAGTCATTAATGTGTATTCTTGAGGTGGTGTTTTAAATTCAGGTGGGATATACTCAGGTTCATCTTTGGACTTTCATGTACTTGTTTTAATTTCCTTCAACTTCAGTCTAAATATGCATATGAGCACTTGTTCGTTCACATCTTGGCCTTATTTTGGCTGATAATGTTGAATTTCTCCATGGTCTCTTCCCACATATGTAGTCATTTTTATTCCATCTGGTGAGGTTCATGTGGATAGTCAATGTTTACATGTGAGGGGACTTCAAAAAGTTCACTGAAAAATGAAATGGAAAGAAAATGGATCTTTTTCTGTGAACTTTTTGAAGTCCTCTTATATGTATAATGTGATACAATGTAGCAGTAAAGTTCTTGAAAGATTTTATGACAGATAATCTAGATGACATTATGCTGAGTGAAATAAATCAATCACAAAAGAATAAATATAGTCTCACTTTTATAAAAAGATAGGAATAGATATATAGAAATCCAGCCATCCTTTGATGGTTATCAGTGAAGGGAGGAAGTAGTGAAAACTCTAGGGGATGATAATTAAATATTTTGAGACTGTACATGGCTGTACCAAATCTCGGTAAAGTGTGTATAACTTGAGCAAGGTAACAAGGATAATACTCAGGAGTGCATGGGAATAAGGGATGTTTTTGGTAAATGCTATAAAAATCCACTGCCCTCAAGTCAATTCTGACTCACTAACCCTAAAGGACAGAGTAGAATTGCCCAAGTTTCTAAGGCTGTAAATTCTTATGGAAGCATATTGACACGTTTTCTTTGTAGCCAGCTGATAAATTTGAACTGCCAACCTTCCAGTTAGCATAGTGCTTAGCTACTGTGCCACTGGGGATTCCTGTAAATGCTATAATATACACACTTTTGCAAAAACCGTTATTTTTAAGTGCCGTCAAGTTGGTTCCAAACCATAGCAACTCTGTATAGGGCTCTGAGGAGCGAATCTGGTGAGCTTGAACTGCCGAACACGCATTTCAGACTGACTTTGCAGTCCAGTGTGTTAACCCATAGCACCACACCAGGACTCAAGCAACCAACAAAATAAGTAAACAACTACATAGTAATTTGTTGGTTGGTAAGTACTATCTGAAATCGATCAAACATGCAATCAAGATGTATTGCTCATTACTGGTGATTGGAATGCAAAGGTTGATAGTAAAGAGGAAGGACCAGTAGTTGGAAAATAAGGCCTTGGTGATAGAAATGATGCTGGAGAATGCATGATAGAATTCTGCAAAACCAATGATTTGTTTTTTTGAAATACCTTCTTTAGAAGGCATAACAGACGACTGTACACATGGACCTTGCCAGATGGAACACATAGAAATCAAATTGACTATATCTGTGGAAAGAGAAGATGGAAAAGCTCCACATCATCAGTGAAAACAAGGCTAGGGGCAGATTGTGGAACAGACCATCAATTACTGATATACAAATTCAAACTGAAGCTGAAGAAAATGAAAACAAGCCTATGAGAGCCAAAATATGACCTTGAATGTATCCCACCTGAATTTAAAGATCATCTGAAGAACAGATTTGATACATTAAACACTAAAGACTGAACAGAAGAGTTGTGGGATGACATCAAGAACATCATAGGTGAAGAGAGCAAAAAGTCATTAAGAAGACAAGAAAGAAGGAAAAGGTCAAAATGGATG